GGCCTCTGGGGCAAGGGAGGCCTTGCCAGCCACAGTTGCGTTTAAGCATGCAGTTGTGTTTAAGGGAAGAGGGCATCAGAGGGGGGCAGACACCTGCCCTGCCTCATTCTGTGTGTTCCCTGCCCTTCTGCAGGTTGTCAGAGCCATCAATGACATCCTGTTCAAGAGGGTCATCTGCCTGCAGGACGTGGACGCAACTGTGGCTGGCTTCGCTGCCCTGGGGTTCCCCAACTGCAGGGGAGCCATGGATGGGACCCACATCCCCATCCGGGCTTCGGCGCACCGAGCGGCCCACTTCATCAACCGGAAGGGGTGGTACTTGATGGTGCTCCAGGCCCTCGTGGACCACTGAGGCTACTTCACGGACATATATGTGTGATGGTAGGGCAGGGCACATGACGCCCGCATCCTGAGAAACTCCAGCCTGTTTCACAGGCTGCAAGTGGGCACTTTCTTCCCCTAGTGGGAATTGACAGTTGGAGACATCCGCATGCCACTGTGCATCATGGGGGATGTGGCCTACCCCCTTATGCCGTGGCTGATGTGCTCGTACACTGGATGCATGGACCCCGGCCAGGAAACATTCAACCAGTACCTGACCCGGGCCCGCAACCAGGTGGAATGCACCTTCGGATGGCTGAAGGTGAGATTCCATTGTCTGCTCACCCATCTCGACATGAGTGAGCAGAACATCGCGGAGGTTGTGGCCGCATGTTGTGTGCTGCACAACATAGTGGAGTGGAAGGGGGAGGCCTTCTTCCCAGGGTGGATGGCAGGCGAGGGCCGGGCGTTCAAGCAGCCCTGGACAGTTGCCATTCGGCAGGCGCACCGCAATGGGATGCGTATCTGAGAGGCCCTCAAAGAGATGTTCTCCCAGGCCCCACACTAGGTTGCTTCTGTCTGGCGTCCACATCTCCCTCCCATCCCCAACCCTTCCCTCACTTCCCAATAAACACAAAACAGTTTTTGGTTTATCCAAGAATATTTACAATATGGAAGAAGGGTGGGCAGTGGGAGGAGGCTCTGAACTGGGAGGGGGGGAGGAGGAAGGGGCTCTGAACTGGCAGAGGGAGTTATTGCTGGGAGGGGCGGCTCCTCCCAGTGCATTCATGGGTGCGGAGGGTCCCTCGCTCCTGGCTGGTCCTGCTGCAGAGAAGACAGAAAACGGTGAGGTGGTCAGTCAGCCCTGCCCACAGTGTCCCTGAGCCCCATGCCCTCCTCCTTGAGCCTCATGTTATACCACACAACTGTGGCTTGGGACCAATCGGTCCCCTATGTGTGTGTTCACACAGATTAGCTCAAAATCCTGGGGGAGTGTAGTGATCCTCCATGGATTATAACCCTCACCTCCCAATAAACACAAAACAGAGACATCACTGTGAATGAAGACCTTTGTCTGTGTCCTAGCCACTTAGCATGCTGTGTCCGTGTGCCTGCACTGTGTACACTCCCTCCCCAAGGTAGAGCACATGGCTTCTACTCTTGTCAGTGTGTGTAAGCATACACTGTTGATGCTGTAATCATGTTTGAGTACACATCCACATTGCATGGGAGCAAGTGTGGCAGATGTGGTCTGGTTTCTCGGACTACTGTCAATTAATTTCCTCGGAGCCTCAGCCAGGGCTACTGGGGAGCGTGCTGTCCCTGCAGCAAGACCCAGAGGCCCAGGCTGCCCCTTCCCTCAGCCCTGGGATTCCCCAGTCCTCGGACAAATAGCCCAGGGAAGTGTGTGGCTTCAGTGGGGGGATTCCCACGGGGGCAGCATAGGGGCCGGGAGCAGCCAAGGGGCTCCATGGGAGCCATGCTCAGAGGTCTGGTTCGCTGTGCTTTTACTGGGAGCAGCTGCTGTGTCACATGGGCAGTTTCTTTCAATACTACATTGAAAAGGGAGTTACTGAGATGTTTTCATTTTCACCAGGTTTTTACAAGAGTAGAGTTAAAGCAACTTAAAGTACTAGTAAAGAGCAATATTAACTCATTTGTCTGGATTGTATTTCTATTTTTATCAGTATTTTCCTGGAGTTGAATATTAATAAATCCAATCAGTTGGATTCAAAACCTATTCTTAATAACAGCTGACTTCATTCCAACCTTAAGTATCTCACCCCCCAAAAATCATTTGAAATTGTCAAGTGATTGCTGGCTAAAAACCAAGTTTTCCTTTTTAACAAACTAAGAATTTTGAATTTTTGTCAAAGAAGACTCTGAAACACTCATTAACAAAGCTGTGAAAAGGCACTTTCACTTATCTCGAAGAGGACAGTTTTCAGCAATGATTACTGTGAAAATGAAACTCAGAAATGATTTAATTATGGAAAACCACTTACATCTGGTTCTATTCTGAGATTCAACAAAATATTGTACAGCGATGCAGTTCAAACTCTTCTCACCAAAATCATAGACGTGTGGTGGAGCTGCTCTGTGTGCTGCTGCAGCAGCCAAGCGGTGTCTACAGGATGTGTGCGCCTTTAAGGGGGCAGGGGGAGGGAGAGGAGGTCCAGCAAGCAGGAAGTAGTGAGCTTGAGTGCAGGTACAGAGCATCCAAGCAGCCATGTGTGTTTTTCCCTGGGAAGCCAGTTCTTGTGCAAAAACTCCCTGCTGCCTGTCCACACTGCCTTCTTGCACAAGAGCTCTTGCACAAGAAGGCTTCTTCCTCGTAGGGAGCATCAGCGCTCTTGTGCAAGATGCCCTCTGTTCTGACGTGCTACTGTAATACTGTACATTTACTTGTACAAGAATGTGCATACGGTGTAGATGCTCTGCAAACTTTTGTGCAAGAACCATTGTCCTTGCACAAAAAGCCTGCAGTGAAGACATAGCCCTAATGTCCAGCTCAATCCTAACATGCACAGCCCATTAAGGAAAGCAGGCGCACATTCAGCTGCTGAACAATGCAGTTTGCCAGCCTGAGTAACTCAGTCACCATATCTTCCCCAGCAGAGACCAGTTTCCACATTGAAGCAGGGCCAGATCCTGCAAAGTGTTGGGAGCCCTTAACTCCCAGGCTGGCTGTGGAAGGTAGAGTACTTAACTCTTCAGGGAATTGCAGGGGCGGTTATTGAACAGACAGAATTGGGCCCACGACCTTGTCCTGTTGAAATGCGTGTCTGGGAGACCGGGGGAGGGGGGCAGGTCTATCGATTCTGTCACTATCAGGTCCTAATGTAGCATGGTCAAGCCTCCCTGCTTCTTGCAGCTGGCAGGGTGCGTGTCGGCTGTTCTGTCCCGGGCAGGCGCAAGGTGGGCCGCTGGAGAGTAACAACCAGCCAGAACTAGGAAGGGAGGAGGGGCGCGCGCCGCTTCTGGCGCCCAGTCACTGGAGAAGCGCTCAGCGGGGCAGGAGAGCCCGGAAGATGGAGGCTGCCGCTCTGGGCGCGGCCACGGGAGCAGCGCCCGGGAGGCAGCACTAGTCTGTGTCCAGCCCCGGAGCGAGGGAGCCAGCCGGGCGCCCGGCCTGAGGCCACAGGAGTCCTGCCGCTGGCCCGCACGCACGAGGGCCCGGCTGCCCGCTGCTCTCTCCGGCGGCGTCTCTGGGTGGCGCAGTGAAAACTGAAAGCAAAAGAGACGAAGGGGCCGAGGAGCGGGCGTGGGCCTGACTCCTCCCTCCGGCGGTTTTGCTGGTCTCAGCTGCTGCTGCTGCTGCGGCGGGCGGGCTAAGCCCGCCCAGATGGTCCTGGCTGCCGTCCCGGCCGAGGTAGGGTAGCCGGCTCCGACTCGGAGCCTCCGTGCGGACGGGCTGGGACATGACTCTGGGCACCCCTCGGGCCCCGGCTCCGCGCGGCAGACGCAGCCAGCAGGAAGTTTGCCCGGGTGCCCATGCACACGCACGGCCGCCGGCTCCTCAGCGGTGCCCCGGAGGCGCCCCCCGCCGACCTCCCCATGGACTCTAGATGGGGCCGGCAGAGCAGCCCGGAGCTGGGCAGGGGCAAGCGGCTGAGCGTCGGGGAGCTGCGCTCGTTCTTCGAGGCTCGCTGCGCCGCTGCCGCGAGGGAGCTGCCCGACCCGGCCAAGAGGAGCTGCCGCCCCGCCAACGGGCTGCTGCCGCCGGTCATCCCGCAGCTGACCGTCACCCCAGAGGAGAGTGAGGAGGCGCAGGGCAGCCCCCGAGGGCCCCTGCCGGACCTGGAGGGATGCTGGCTGAGGACGGGCAGCTCACTGCACCTGCTGCAGTCCCGCCGCCTCTCCAACTCCTCGCTGTCCTCCACGGGCTCCTCCTCCCTCTTCGAGGACTCCGAGGACGACTTGCTGAGCGACACGGAGGGCAGGAGCCAGGGCATCGTGCACCTGGAGCACGGGGAGGACACCCACCAGGTAGCCCCCCCGCCAGCGGTTGATTAAGGGCCCTTAGATTGAACGCCGTGGGCGGCCAGCTGCTTCCCACGTCCCCGGGGACGGGCTTTGGGAAGAAACACCCGCGGGTCCATGTGCCGCCTCCGCAGCCAGCGAGCTGCGGCGCCTCTTGGCGGTTCTGGAGAACAAGTGCTGCTCTGAGCTCGAGCTGGGATATAGCAGCAGGGGTCGGATACCATGGTGATGGCCGACCTTGGGAAAACTCAGCCAGGTAGCTGGGTTGTGGGCTGCAGGGGAGGCGAGGCCTCCACTGCTGGAGCTGGGGCTGTGTCTCCACCGGGCTGTTATTTTGACACATTTGACCAGACCAACCTGAACGTATAATGAAGTGTGTTAAAATGAAAACAGGGCTGCCCTGAGCTAAAGGGCTCTTTGTTGCATTGGGTGCCTGCCTTATCAGACTCTCGGCTCCACTGTACTCAGCGGTAAACACCAACTCGATAACACAATCCTTTTTACAACCTCCACTCACTGGCTAACTCAGGGGAGCTCAAGTTACTCCCCCTCAGTTAGTCCTGGCCCTGTAGTCATTGTATTTCAGCTGTATTGCAAACAGCAACCTATCGTGCCTGCGGATGTGGAGAAAGACACTATTCAACCTACGCCTTACGGTCCCAGGGCCTCAGAATGTGCATAGGGTCATTCAGCACTCACCAGCCTGGTGTTTTAAACAAGGCTTCAGTGCCCTAACCAAAAGGAAATGCAGTGCTCCCTTTACCCAGTCATACAAACTCTGTGAAACATCCACCATGCTGTTCAGTGATAATGCTACATGATTCTGAGTTACAACATTGCTGGGGTACTGAGGCTCTTGAAACTCAGCCAAGTGCTGACATTGTTTCACCCCTTGCTGTGAAACCTGTTGAGATTTTAAAATTCTCTTGTGGCATTTTTTTACCTCTGGCATTTTTTTTCAATCTCTCTTATTGGTTCTTAAACACTCCCCTCCTCCCCCAGCATTTATTAGTAGGTATTTCTGCCTCTTCCAGTCCCTGAGTCTCTGATTTGTCAGTTTTTGATCTACTTCATGCTGTGAGCTTGACAGGAAATTGGGAGGAGCTCTGAATTAATAGCATGCATGCTTTAGTTCATTTTGGCAGTAATACATTATTCCCAATAAATCCCTTATGTAATTCAGCAACTGCTGGAACATGTAAAGGGCAGTTTTGAAGACCTGCAGTTGTTGTTTTTTATAGTGGTAATACATATTTTGCTTAGTGTTTATAACAGTGCTCTGGGAGCCTTGAAGCTGAAATGTTACCTTGGCAAATCACCCATACACCATTATTGAGCGGGACCGCCCAGTGTTTTATTATTTTGGGGTTGTTCATTACTAATGGGCCACTGACAGTGAATTGAATCAGGAAAAACTACATATTTTACAACAAGATAAAAATAAAGTGACATGATATTGTAGGTCATGCTTTCTCGTGGGTTCTTCTCCTGACAGGATTATTAAATTAGAGGAAGTAATGTTGGATGTCTGAAGTACAGGCCGGGGAATTATGCAACCTTAAGTCTATTTTGGAAGACTTGCTTTGCCCTCTAGGGGGAGGGGGGGGAGAATTGACTTTTTGTGCCTCAGTTTCTTAATTATATATAAAGGGGATATTCGGTATAAGGGTTTTGCAAGGCTTAATTAATATTTATGAAGACATGAATCTCAGAATCCCCTGTAGAAGGGCAAATTATTATTATTATTATTTTATTATTACATGACATTTCACTTTGAATTATAGAATAATAGACATTAAAGACAAGAGGGGTAGAATATTAGATCATCTGGCTCATTTCCGAGGCGATGAGTGGGTATGATGATGGAACACTGTTAACTCTGAATATCCATCATTGAGAGCGGTGTATTGGATGTATGGTTAATAGAGAGCAGAGATTTACTGATAGCACTTCACCAACCCAAAGAACCTGATTCCATTCATGTTGCAGGCTAACTTGTCTCCTGAGAGTGGTCTGAAGCAAAACTATCCTCCAAGCCAGATACCATGTTGGATGCAATATGGTCCAAGCCCTGCACCATTGAGGTCAATGATAAACCTCTCATTGACTTTGATGTATGCAGTATGAGACCGTAAATCATAACTTAGTATACTGCCCTGTATACTACTTTTTAAAAATGTGGTACATATGCCTATATTTTGTATGTAAGCTGCGTTACTTGTTTTCAGTCGTATTAAGTTTGTTAGCACTATTTAGATCTGGACAGGGTTCAGAAGAATTGCTACATCTAATTACAAATAAAAGTAAAGAGTTAAAGAATACTAACTAACGGAAAAAAGTGTTTTAAACAAATAAAAAGCAGTCATCTTCATTTTAAGCTATGGTAGGATGAAGACTGATAGCATCTATTTGAGTGCATGTGAAATCAGGGAATTTCCAAGTCTTGAGATAAGTTTTGTTTCTTTAAAATGTTTTACAGACCTGACAAATGTCATGCATTGCCACAGAACAGGTAAAAAGTCATACATTTTTTATGTGAGAGACCCGTCCGACATGAAAGAGCTGTAGCATAGGGAAAAGTGTACTGAGATACTTACCAAGAACTCATGCATTCTAATCCAAGCTGTTCATGTGATCGGGGTTAAAATGTCTTTGCACCCCTTATTAACCAATGCCTCATTACCCCTACACTAGGATAGATAACCCATTTTATAGATCAGTGAGAGGCTGTACAAGCTATTTGTAGGCAAAGCTCCAAAGAGAACCCTGGACTTGACAGACTCAAGGCTTATCAGCTTTGCCACACTGTGCCTTTCAAGTCAAGTGGGCCAAATTCTATGTTTGTCTAACTGAGGGGTGGGCAAACGTTTTGGCCTGAGGGGCACACCAGGGTTCAGAAATTGTATGGAGGGCCAAGTAAGGAAGGCAAACAGCTGTGGCCTGACCCCTGCTACCCATCCCCTGGGAACCCCTGCCCCCAATCCGTCTGGGTTTCCTGCCCCTTATCCAACCATCCCCCCATTTCCTGTCCCCCCAGGATCCTGGCTCCATCTAACCCATCCCTTGAACACCTCCTGGGATTGCTTGCAGCTTATCCAACCCCCTACGCTCCCTGCCCAAGTACTACCCCAGAACCATCCCTGCTCCCTGACTTTACTGCCTGGAGCACCAGCACTGGTGGCACTACAATTGCACCATCCAGCTGGAGCTGCAGTTGCCCCTCACAGAGGCACACTGTAGCAGGTGCAACTGCATTGCTCAGAGCATCAGGGCTGGCAGCCTGGCAAGCACACCACCTAAGCGATGGGGGAGCTGGGGCTACAAAGGAGAATGGACAGAAAGTGAGGGATCAGGGGCTAGGCTTCGTTGGTCAGGAGCTTCGAGGCTGAACAGAAGGGTCTGATGTGGTCTGCGGGCTGTAGTTTGCCTTCCTCTGGACTAATCGATCCTAAACCAGTGATTGTCTGCACTCAACTGAGAGGTATAATTCCCAGTTTGGGAGGATAAACGCAGTTACCTAAAAGTAGCATTGTAACACTGTTGGCAGCTCAGGCTGTCAGCCTGAGTACAATCTAGTCAGAAATACTAGGTGCATATTTCGGCCACTAACTCATGCTCTATGACTATATACTACTATTTCTAGTACACTATCTGGAGCAGAACTAGCGCATGTACATCTTCCTGAGCTGGGAATTGCATTTCACATGTTCCTGTGTAGGTGCATCTATTGTGACTGAACCACATCTAAAGGTTTATGAGTCTGTTACTGCCTGTGCGCATTTAATGCACCATTATACTTTAATTTAAATGATTAAAGTGCATGCTTTTTTATTTTGGCAAATGACATTGTTTGGATATTTTGGATTAATATGAGTCATCCTTTTAAGAAGAGAGAGGAATGTACAGCAGGGCTTGTCTGAGGGAAACTGAGAGCAATGCTTGGGGGAGATCTTGCTTGTGTGAATAGTCTCTGCAGAGGGAAGACCAGTCAAACATATCTTTCTAGAAAACAAGTGTAACCCACACATCTAGTGTGGTTCACTGTCACATGTAGTGTCACCTCAACCATAGCAATAGATAAGAACAAGAGACCTCTAGCATGGGCTGAGAGCCAGCTGGCTTTTAGCTCAAAGGGTAGAGGCTCCTATACTATGCTTCAGAGGTCCCAAGTTCAAATCCCCTGATACTGGTTACACAAGCTTCCCCCTTGAAGGTGGTACTGGTTACACAAGCTTCCCCCTTGAAGGTGTAATAACACCTTTTCCAGGGACTGGGTGCATCAGGGCATCTCTAGTGACTGTTAGAATCTTTTTTGCCTGTAGGTCACCAGTTTGGGATTAAAAATTGTTCCCAGCTGATAGAGATTTACTGGTTGCACTGGGAGTGAAACTTGGTGAGTCCAAATTCCAAATCCCATCTTCAAACTCACCATCTCACTTGGTATTAATTAGCAAACTCCAAATAGAGGACAAGAATCCATTGGCCATGGAGATGGAATTATCCTTGTGATTTCCCCAGGGAAAGGTCCCTCAGGTCAAGGTTTGGCATTGTGGCAGGGAATATGTGGGAAGCTTATTCCGCTGCTGCCCTGTTAGCCACACTTTGTAGCTGTGTACAGTTTATTATATTTGCATTAAATGCCTTATATGGAGCGGCACATCAACTTGATAGCTATATATTTTGCTAATTAAGCAATAGGTTGTAAAATTAATATTAAATTACACACTGTATCTTCTCCTATGACAGCTATAAAAACCCCTACTTTCCCATGAATTATCATCATCATCAGTCTTTCAAGGCTGAGGATAATCTTTCACAGGTTTTATTTTTCCTGGGTCCTTTGGTGACTAAAAAGTCTAATCCGTGAGCCACAGGCTCACTGGCAGACATTGCAGGTGCTGTTGAAGATTGGGCTGGGTCCTGGCTGCTGTGTGACTGCTGTCTTTCTTTTCTGGTGGTTTTCGATGACCAGGGCAATGTTATTTTCCTTAAAAGTGGACATTCTC